ACACCATGAGTTTACTGTGAGTTGAGATACTCGTATCCCTACTTTTCTGATGACAAAATTGAGGCACGAAGGGGTCCACTGATTGCTAAAGAACACATACACAAAGAAAGTGGTAGAGCCAGGACTGAATCCCAGGTCTGTCTGCTTTTATCTAAAACTCTCTCTCCAACAACCTCACTCCATGCCCTGTGTTTCTTCACATAGACAGGCATAAGAACAGAGGTAGTACATACTAAGGAATTTCAATTCTCTGTGTGCAGAAGTGACAGAGGAGCAGGAGACCCTGAGTTCACTGGCACCTTGCTCCAACCCAGTGAGCTAGGCAGCACAGTTATGAGGATAAGACAATATCTACATTTAGCATTCAAAATCCACAGAACTGCTTGCAGGGTCTGATGAAATGCCATTTAATTAGACAGGTACTCAATAATTTTTCTGTAAATTGAGACAACATGGCTCCTTATTTTCTACAGTATACATAGTTTATCATTCCTGGATAGTCATAATAGTAATAATAATAATAATAATGCACCACTTAGGCACGGTATGATTTTTTTAACAAAACCTTTGCAATACCTTGTCAAGGATGTTGAAGATTACATATCCATCCAGTACAAAGAGGAAACTTCTGAGGCCTCTTCCAACCCTAAAAGATGACAGTTATCAGACTCAGAGACAATGTACCCATATTCCTGAATAAAATCTTTGCCTATGTGTACCCTACTAGGGATTTTTTAAAAGAAAAGATTATATAAAAGAGAAAGAGAAGAGATCTGGGAGAAAATGAGATAAGAGGGAAAGGAGAGGGTGACAGAAATAATGAAAGAGGTAGATAAAGGAAGGAATGAAAGAAAAAGAAGAGCTAGACCTGCATGATGAGAAACTAGAACAGATAAATGAAAAACGACAGTACAGAAAGTCATGGAGTGTTCAATTAATTAGTTATTGTCCATTTCCTTGAGAGACCTCTAACAAATCTGTCCTTGTCAGTGACAGGAAATCTTTTTGAATTCTTTGTAAAAGGATATTAATGGCCACTGCAAGCTTCGGCAGCCCTCCACTGTGATGCTGTGATGCAGGGAGGTTGCCGGAGTTCCTCTAGGTCATACCAGGAGCCAGCCTTGGTGCAGGAGCGACTCCTCTCATGTGGACACAAAGAGTACTCCTCCAGCCCACAGACTGTCAACCCTCTATCCTTGACTGGTACATGGGAGGCTGACATTTAATACCCTGAGGATATAGATGTTTGAAAGCTGGTTATTGTAACAAAGGAAGCCATCCAAACTCTGCAAGACCAAATGGATCAGATAAAGCTGACACAGAGATAAATCTGTTTTACATCCATTCTTGCACAAGTTTTGCTAATCTATGTAGTTATAGCTTTCCCACTGAAGGGGAAAAAAATAGCCCACCACATGTCGGCAAGTCCACATCGCATTCCTATTTTTAATCTCCAAGGTATAACGTTCTGGGCAAAGACCATTTTTATGCTGACTTTTGCATGAACTCCATTCATGTAGAATGACACAGGAAGAAAATAAAAAAGGAGGATGAGAGAGTATAGGGAGGAGAAAAAAGAGAGAGAGAAGGGGAGAGAATTTCTTCTTGAATGACTGTGTAAATGCAGATTTTGTTTTAAATGAATGAATTCTGCTCCATCAATGACACAGGATCGCTTCTCTCTCAGGCAGTCAGACATCTACTCTTCATTAGCCAGTATTTATGCTGCCAGATTGGACTTTCATATGGGAGCCTGAAGCAGGAATGGTGCAGATGGCAGGAAAGCTCTCATGAGATTGATAACGATGAAGAAAGATGCCACATTAAGTCAGAAGGTGCCACTGTTAACATCCCAGCTCGGAGGAGAATATTTCTAGCTAGCACTCCCCTCCAAGGTCTGTTTCTCTTCCAGCTTCAACTAAAATTCATCCCCCTCCCCAAAAGCTCTCTGCCCTACTCACTCTCTTTCTGGCAAGTAAGGGATACTTTGGATTTCCTGTCCTTTGTGTTTCAACACTTTTTGCCTCGGGTACTTAACCTTTGCTTTCCAAAGGTGGCTGAGATCCTAGCTGTGGAGAGGAGCTGAAGCAAGCAGGGAGGAAGGGAGAAGGCATTTTAGTCCATGTTTGCTCTAACAAAGGAACCACTATATAAGAAGTTCCGAGCAGGAAACCTGAATGGTATTTATTGTTTCGATTCAGGCCCTCATTGCATCTGCTGCCTTTCAAAGATAGATGCTGTGTCCATAAAACCAGAGCCCTGCCTCAAAACCTTTGAGAAAGGGCAATCTCCAGGGTGTAGGACTGACAGAAAGTCAACACCACTGGAGGATCTGCAGTGCTAGGCAATTGCTGCTAGGATGGAGGGGCAGAGCCTCCTAACTTCCGACTTGCAAAGGAGGGATGGAGATTCATTTATGACTTCAGTTGCTGGCTAAACTAGTTGGTTCCTCATTCAAGGAAAACACAGGTCCTCATCTGTGAAGTCTGAGTCTTTCCACTGCAGAATAAAAGAATCCACTATGTTTCAACAAAAAAATAGGGCAACATCTTCTTCTGATTTTTAATCTCCATGATCCTCCTTACTGATTTTATCTGGTCAGTGACAAAGGCTCTCTTTTGTGACCAAACTTGAGTCAGACTCCTCTGAATCCTTTCTGACTAGGGCAACAGTGGACTTCCCTCTCTCTCCTTTAGAATCGAGTTTGAGAAGGAATCCTGCTAAGTCAGTCACTGAAAATCCCTACCCTTTGTTTCTGACCACCCCCTACATCTCATCGCCCTGGTCTGCCTTCAGCAAGAATTCTATTGAGCCAGTCTAGCAAGAATCCCCTTAATCCCTCATGTTTTCCTTTTAGCAATTTTCCATCTACCAACCCCCACCCTGCTCCTCGGTTATAAATCCCCACTCCTCTTTGTTGGAGTCGGAGTCCAGCCCAATCTCTCTCCCCTACTGCAAGACCCTGTTCCAGTGGACCCTATATCCATCACCATAGCCCCACCTGAATAATGTCTGCCTTACCATCTTGAACAAGTGCCACGAAGAATGTTTTCTTTCACACCACAAAAACATCTTTGGCATTAAAGCAGGGAATGAGTTTTCTGGTTTCTTCTGACATCCCAGCCTACCTGGATGGCAATCTGACACCAGGCCAGGAAGGAGAGTAGATGAAAAGTGCTTTGGCCGGGCGCGGTGGCTCAAGCCTGTAATCCCAGCACTTTGGGAGGCTGAGACGGGCGGATCACGCGGTCAGGAGATCGAGACCATCCTGGCGAACACGGTGAAACCCCGTCTCTACTAAAAAATACAAAAAAACTAGCCGGGCGAGGTGGCGGGCGCCTGTAGTCTCAGCTACTCGGGAGGCTGAGGCAGGAGAATGGCGTAAACCCGGGAGGCGGAGCTTGCAGTGAGCTGAGATCCGGCCACTGCACTCCAGCCTGGGCGACAGAGCCAGACTCCATCTCAAAAAAAAAAAAAAAAAAAAAGAAAAGTGCTTTAGCCCTCAGTGCAATCAGATAGGGAGAGCATTTCCCTTGTTCAGAAACAGTCACCCAGAAACCAAACCAACAGACAAAATGTGATATAATGAGACTTGCGAACTTAGCAAGTTTGGAAAATTTGGCTGCTTTCACGCAACCTGAGTTATATACTATCAGAGTCCATCCTAGAAAATGTAGGCTGGTAAACAAAGGGAGGCCACATCAAGGGCCCCTGTGCAGCAATCACAAATTCATGTTGGTGTGTAAGCATTTAATTAGCTTCCCAGGTTTACAGGAGCTCCAGTCAATTTAAGACACTCTAGGTAGCTCCTCCTAGACCACGCCGGTCCTCTTGGAAGCCTGGACGTAGAATGCCTACCACCAGGGAAGGGTATTCGAAGAATCTTAATTGAAGGAAATTCCTATTTTTATGTCTATATGATGTACCATCAGCATTTCCTCCCCCACAAAAATACACAGAGGGGCAACTAGTCCAAATAACTGGTTTAAATCTGTAAATTACAGCACTGCTTCAAGGAACTTTTAAGGTCGTTTTGTGTCTATGGAAAAGTTAGATGGCATCATAAAATTTTTAGAGCTAATGTAATCTTTATACAGTGGATTCATCTCCACTGATGAGATGTGTTTGAGGCACTACCCCTCTCTCCCTTTCTTTTGACTGTCCTTGAGTCCTGAGAAAGAATTACTGCTCCAGTGATACTCATGCCATGACCGCACAAAAACATCTTCCACCCTTTGGGATGCAAGATCTCAGATCCCAGGCCTTCATTTTACTTTTCTCTACCAAGGGAAGGGTTGGCTAAACATGGTTAATTTTCTGAGTTGGTTGCATTTCAGCTGTAGAATCTAATCCTCTCTTACATCTCCTGTGTGTATTTCTTCTCGGCACTTCGGTCTTTAGTGACCTTCTCATACCATTTCATTAAATGCCCTCCGCCTCGGTAAATTACAGTACTTTGAAGCCTTGGAGTTTAGCATATAAAAAAGCAAGCGCCTCTATATACTGCCCTGGGATAAGGTGTGATGAAAATCCCATGCAAGCTGAACTGTACTTCCTAATCAAATGGGTGTAACAGATGGCTGTTGGAGCGAACCATCACAATGGAAATATCTGCAGTTCTCATGGTAACGGAATCTGCCAGGTCTGAGGGATTTGCTGTTTTTCAGGACATCTGAGCTGCAATCTCTTTCGAGCTGTCTAGCAGTCTCCGTCTCGCTCTCTCTCACTCTCTCAGCATGATGGAGATAGAGTTGAAAGGTGGAGCTCGATTTTGCATTCCAGCTGTGATTAAAGACACAGGCACACATCCTGGGAGATAATACGCTGCATATTCATTATGCTATCTAGAACCTCTTTAGCTACTGGGACACGACTGTCATACAATTACAATATGCCTTCTTCAGGAGTAAAGGGGGGTTGGGATGAAGAAGATCAGAGAATGACAGTGAGGGAAAATATGAGGAATTAAGATGCATGAGACGTACCTTGTAATAAAGATATGGAGCAATATTAAAACGAGCAGTTGTTTCCATTTCATGGCAACATGTCAAGATGACTTAACACAGCAGGATAAAACATCTGGCCTGGGGAAAAAAAAAAATACATGATGTCAAATTTCCAAATCACAATGTAGACTATGTGGAAGAAAAACAACAGATAAGCAACTGTGTACCTTCCCAATAAGTGAAAGCATGTGGAAGACTTCTTTATACTCCGCCATCAGAAAAAAGATCCATCTCATAAGGTGGAGGTTAGCATATAGACACTGAGCTTTTATTATAAAACTAAGGTTTGGGCTTAAACCCACAGGACTGCCTTAGAAAAGGGTTTTTTTATTATTTTTTTTCCTCATGCTATTCATAACCTTCTGATTTCACAGCAGTGCTCGGAAAGGGGAAAATAATCAGTCACAATTCTATTTTATTAAAGTCTTTTCCTCCAAATCCCTATCGATTTAAAGAAATAAGGAAAAGTATACTGTCTTCTTTGCTATAGTACCTCCTAGAAAACACACACACACACACACACACACACACACACACACGCACACGCACAGGGTTGATTCACAGCTGCCTGGTCCCTTGGGTATTTCAGCTTGAAGATCAGACAACATATAAGAATTCAGCCATGACTCAAAATGGAAACAAAGAAGACCATTCTTAGCAAATCCAGCAACGTGAAATGAAAAACTACAGGCTGTAGGCTGGAGCCCCTAGCATGCTTACTACCCCCCACCCATTGTCCTTGAGGGCACTACTGTTAAATACATATGACAGCCAAAGAGATGAGGAGAATAGTTTCCAGAAAGCAATGATTGGATCTCCCTTTTCATGAGGTAGAATAGGCAGGACTATGTAAGCCTGTAAAGTAGCTCTTGAGAACAGGCCCTGGGAGGCAGCATTGTCTCCCTCTCATACGGCGCCTGAAGAACATATTATATTATATAACCTTTCTCCAAAGCCTGCCTTGCTTTGACTGGGACCCTCTTCCTTTAGAAGCCTGCTAATAACAACTTTTGGATGACAATCTCTGTCTTAACAAGCCGGATTAGTTAGTTTAAAGCAATGAACTGAGGCCATTTGTGCAGATGCTAATCAAAAAAAGAAAAAGGAAAAAATTAGAAAAGACCCATGAGCCTCCATCTCTTGTAAGTACAATATAGATAAAGAGGAGCGCGTCCCAGGGCCACATCTGTGAGCTGACCTCTAAGGCACACAAAGGTCTCCGGGGCTGTGGGGTTATAAAAGGAGGGAAGAGGGTTTGTATGGGGCCAGTAGCAGACAACAGTGGCTCTGAAAGGGCAGTTATCGGAGGACTGTCTGAAGCTTTTTTCCCCCTTGGAAATTGTTCTTTATTTGTCTCTTATGAGGACTTTGCTTTTGCTTCACAGACACTTCCCAGCTCCTAGCACAGAGCCTGGCACATAGTAGAGGCGCAGATTAAATATTTGACATATAAAAGATTAAATGGATAAGGAAAGATTCAAAAATGTTCAAATGTCAAGAACAAACATACAAATCCCACAAATATATGACTGACCTCTCCTTCCTCTCTTCACCAAGAACAAAAATAAAATTGTATTAAACACAACAGTCAGCACATTTAGAAAGACATTCTGTATCTTTGAAGATCAATGGCCAGATTGATTATTAACATTCAACCATGACTGGCACTTTAAAATATATACACAAAAGGGAAAGCTACTCAGCGGGCGATTCAGATTTAGAATATTGCAGAAAATGTAAGTCCATTTTCAAAAAGTAATCTGTCATTTCATCAGCTTCTCTGAGAGGTCACTTTTTTTTACACCACAACTAGGAAAACTGACTCATGAAGGAAGGAATGTTTGGTTTCCTTTCAAATATTCTGAGAATAACATAATATGCACTCTATTACATTTCAAATCTGAGTATGTAATCAGTGTGAGAGAGAAAAACAAATTACTAGAGAGAATACTAGCTGTCACATTCCAGAGGCTGAAATACACACACACACACACACACACACACAAACAGAGTTTCTATTGGCTCCTTAAATTTTAACTGCCTTCAGAGTACATATTTTTTAGGAATTCTCTAAGCCAAATGTTTGCTGGAATGCTAACCTCCTTAGAAGCTCAGGATGTCCTGCTGAGATCATTCAGTTAGAAGACATTCAACTGCCCTACAAGTTAGAGAAGGGTAAGTTTGAGAATTGGAAAGACTCTTAAAGAGCAAAACATAAAAGCTGCCTCTCTGGGTAACACTCATCTCTAACTCTCATAACAAATAATATTTTTGTACAAGAAGGTTGTAGTCAAACTCAAGAAGATACAGATATAACTTCAATGTTCCTTCTATAATTTATAGATAGAAAATAAGCTCTTCGTATATATTCAGCTCATACTTTCAGCCACAGAGATTCTTTTGTTTTATTGTCAATAATTATCTCATTTTCTCATGCCCCTGTCACCTTGAGCTGAGGAATAGGATCTAACCATGGTGTTGCTGCTTACAATAAGTTTTAGGATCCAGTTTGTTTTAGACCTCACCTAATTCTCTGGAGTGTTCAAAGCCCAGGTAGGACAATCAGATCTGTCCTTTCAAACGAGCTCTTTTATTACCAACCTTCTCTAGAATAGATCCTCAAGAATTGAACTAGAATATTTTGTTGTAGTTGAGTTCATCAAACCTGAGTAGGAAACCCACTACACACACACACACACACACACACACACACACACACACACATTCAGGGTTCTGGGGGAATATAAAATAAGTCAATACCTTCTTGTCCTAAGAGTTTACAATCAAGCTGGGACAGTTAAGACAAGATTACTAATGGTTATATACAATATCAGGTAGGACAAAAGAAGTATAATTCAAGTACTCTGCAGAGGCAGAGGAGGGTTGATAAAAGGCTCTATGAAAAATTGAAAATTTGATGATATTTGAAGGATTATATGTAAGAGTTCAACAGACTAAAACAAAGACATGAACAAAGACATCCCAAATGGAGGAAATGACATGAACACAGAGGCAGAAAAGTGTTAAGAATAGTCTGGGCACACTGAAGAGGCATGTTTGACTAAGCAGCGGAAAGTAGAAGAAAACAAAGCTGTGGTCATATGAGAGGAAATAATATTTAATCCCAGGAGCATTTGGGAGTTGTTGACCATTATTGAGCAAAGAAACATTTTAATTGGGAACTCCAGCTTCACTAGATGCATAAAATACAACGCTTTTTGAGGTTTCCAAGGATGCCCCACGCAAGCAACAGTCCCAAGGGTGCATTACCAGCAGAAAATCCAGGGGGGGGGTCCCAATTTACGTGGAGCACCTTTTTGCGCACTGCAAGAATGATCTTTTAAGAGTCAAAACAGCAAGATGTAAAACCTGTCCTGTTTTGCATGTCTTTGGAAATAAATAAACCTTTTCTATTTCAATACTTGGCATCGTGACAAGACCTAAGAGGAACTAGAGAGATAATTAATAAGGGCATGAGGGGAAAGTGCAATTAAAAATGGCAAAGACCACTTCGTAAATAAGTGCTTCATACTGCGAAAGATTATTACTGCGATCTCCAGCTTCAAACTGAAATCAAATCACTCCGAATGGATAATTTGAACATTATTAGGGGGGAAAAAGCCATCATGGTTCCTAGCCTCTAAATTACAGGAGAAACAAGATTTTATTCTGACTTCACCTTTCTGTCAGTTTAAATCAACAAAATAATCACAGCTTAGTCCCAGTTGGCATAACTCTCCATAACCTCAAGTTTTAATGTTCTTTAGTTTCCTAACCAGAAGAGGAAGTTAGATTGAGAATGCCTCAAGAAGAATCTTTTCCAGGGAACTATTAAAAAAAAAAAAAAAAAAAAGTCTCCTAGGAAACAAGAAAGGCAAACTCCCTTTATCTGAATAAGAGCCTTTGTTGGAAATAAAATCTAGCTGGAGCGAATCTGAAAGCACAAACCCCACCAGGCTTGGAGATGTTTGAACCTCTGGCCCAGTTTACAGAGCCCACTTAAAGTACTGATGTTTCCCATCTAAAAAGCAGTCCATGTGTTTGTCACTCACAGGAGAACTTTTGGCTTCTGCCTTTTGAATGGAATGATTCAAAACCGTATCATTTCCTGCAATTTAATTTCATAGCTAAATGCAAAGTATAGGAAGATAAGGTCACAGGGACATGGATCTATCTACAGAAAGTGATCACACTCCCTAGGCTGCCGTAAGTGGAGATTTAATTGGATACAGTAGGTTTTGCTATCATTGCAACATGGAGATAAATTATTTTTAAAATGGCCAATGACCATTGGCAGCTCAGCAGGAATAGGGGTCAGAGAAGAGTATGGCTTCCAATTATGGCTTGAGATAGAAAGAATTGCTTACATCAATTTCAGATGGTTGTGAATAGCATCATTATTTTATAATCACCATCATTATTGTCGTCATTGTCATCATCCTGACTTATATTTTTTAGTAATCTTAGAAAGGAACAACGACCAGAGGGGAATACTGTGTACTGTTCATTCTCTCTTTACCTTAGGTTGAGGAAGTCCACTAAAATAAAAGTGGAATGAATAACTCCTATCATTCCTGCTCAAAATAATTGGCCCAAATTCCTTTAAGTCAGAAGTCAACAAATTATACCTGCAGTCCAAATCTAGCATTCTTCCTGTGTTTGTAAATAAGGCTTTATTGGAACACAGCCATACTTATTCATTTATATATTGTCTATAGCTGCTTTTACAATACAATGACAAAGTTCAGTAGTTAATGACAGAGACCATGTGGCCTGCAAATGTTGAAATATTTATTCTCTAGCTCCTCACTTTGCTAACCCCTTCTCTATGATCATCATCATTATCATAATCATCCCTTCCATTGTAGAAGTCATGGAGTATCTGAAGGTTTTAATACATCTTGTTTGATAACACCTTTCTGATAGATGAAGATGGAGAGAACTGCAGTGCCCAGAGACATCTCAGACTAGTGTCACTTCTCTATGAGAAATTCAGACTTAACATCCCCTTCATCATGGGACACTCAGGATAAGGACATCACTATGTTTACAGAGTGAGGCCTAGTGCTCCTGGTTGT